TGTAACACGATACACAAAACCAGCAGCTCAGTCCTGAAATAAGTACTAAAAATACTGCAAGCTATATATAACATCTACTACATTGTTTTACAGGTAAAAAAACTCATTCAGATCTCTTTTGATTAAACATTTACACTTCAGTACCGGAAGTTTTTGTTCTTTTACAGTTTTTACCTGCTTGAAAAAAGGATACATAGGGCCTAGGAGAAAGAAAACTTACTGCCATTGCTATGCTGCCCTTTTCCTCCAAAGGATGGGCAGAACCTCTGTTTAAGCCCCTTATTATGTTTGGGGTGAGACTTCCCATGCGATGAAGCACACCTGTGCGAAGGCCTGCACTAACACTCTAGCTCACACACACAGGTGAGATCTCGACCTTCCTTTCCGTGCTCAGCTCTGCAGGCTGCCCAGCTCAGAGGGAGCCAGGACTCCCACGGAGCTGCCCCGCGAGCCTGTGCAGTCACTCATGGCCAGCACAGTCCCCTGCCACGGTTGGGTGGCAGCCCGCCACCACCTTGAAGCCCTAAGGGAATTGCTCCTTCACCTATGCCAACAAACAACTTTGAAAGATGCCCTTGGGTACAAAGAGACTCAAAAATGTTTCTAGACCAATGAGGTTATATACACTAAAAAGCTGAAGATTTGAGGTGTAGGATTCCTCATTCCACAGTTCTCATCCTAGAGGAAAAAGCAGCTCTTAATATTCTACTTTGTTATTCTACTGGGCACTCAAGTTTTACTGTTTACCGATTTAAAATAGACTTTACTAGCAGGTAAAACAAAGTACACATATGAGGAACAGAGAAGATACTCAATCATAGCTTGTAAACAGTGGTTTCTCACATGGAAAGGAATTGAATAGGATGTATGAACAACCTGCCATGGGTGAGATATAATGGGCTTCATAAAAGCAGACAGATTTACAACACTTGTGTCCTTCCTCCTTAACCTTCCTAGTCTGGTATCTTGCAGAACCAGCTTCCAAGCCAGGTAAAGGCAAGTAGCTGGCAGCCAAAGGGAGAAGACCTGAACAAGAAGAACAGCTGCAGAAGCCAGAGAGCAGCAGAGACTCCTTCCACTCCCATCACACAGAGTCTAACATTCCTGCATATTTTATGTAGCCCAGCTATACTGATTGGAAAAGCTAAAGGAATTTGGCAAGTCACTGGCTTTACAGATAGCAAGTAAAGTACCTGCCAGGCAGTTCAGCAGTATTAGGGTACACACTGACAGTTAAGAATGTCAGCATGCTAGTTACTAGCACTAGAGGCAGAAGAGCCTTTTGCCTTTCTTCCTTCTTTCCTTACAGACTGTAAAACTTCTACTGGTAGCACCAGTACTTCAAACTTACTTGCCCAAACTACTAAAACAAGTGTTTCTTTTAAAAAAAATTAAAAAAACCACTTTTTTGTTATAACATTTTTCCAGTGGAAAACAATTTTGCTATGAATTTACAAGGAAGCACTGAATAAATGATCAGAGCACTGAATAAAATATGCTTTTTTATTGTAACTAAATATGGACCTCTGCAAATGCCAAAAAAGTATAAAGAAAATAAACTCCAATTCTTTTAACACACAGGACCAACTGGCTCAAATCAGACTCTATCAGTTTGGATATGACAATATGACTGCCTTGCCCGTCCTCTCTCAGGATACCTTTATGCAGTTGAGGACACACAGTAGCAAGTTCTCCCCTGGTAATTTTAGCCAGTTGCTGCAGAAATGCCTCTGCAGATTACAGCCTGAAAACGTGAGGACCTCCCTCCCTGCCCCCCAGCTTGCTGTTGCACGCTCTGCACTGCACTCCTTTCTATTTTGGTGGCTCATTAACTGTAAGGTATGTAGGCACATGACTGAGGAGCATTGAAATCACCTCCTCAAACGTGGGGCCTAACTTCCATGAGAAAATCAGAATGATTTAGGAGATCACTGCATCCAAGACATCCTTATATATACAGGACTATGTCTCACTTGATCTTTGACTCTCTGCTAACTTCATTGCTACTAGTTGCTATTTATTTACAGCTTCCCACACATGCAAAAGCCTCAGAATTGAGATTGGGAGCCAAGAGGTGAATTTGTATTGAACTGTGATCACTTCATGACAATGTTTAAACAAACAGTACAGCTTGCCTTACCTCAATTTCAGAATTAAACTATCAAACCGAGTATAAACTTCAGAGGGGAAGGAGAGGGAACACAGTAATAGCTGGAAATATAAGTCAAGAGATCACAGACAAACCTTGGTTCCTATATGCAAGCTAGTGAGATTTCAAAGCACTAGACATAGGGAAGAACAGAAGGTAAAGATCACTTAACTGTGTCTTCCCTCCCTCTTCCCCTTGTAATTGTCACACAACTATACTAACAATAAGTTCCATGCTTGAAGGTAAGTTATCCTGGTGTGTTTGTGAGGGTACATGATCCTGGTTTGTTTTCCAGCATGCAAACATACTCAAGCTTACCTTTCATGGCTGCCTATATGTTATCTACACAACTCTGAAGTCCAAATGAAACAATACTGCAGTTCCTGGACCTGAACACAAACCAGGTGATATATAGGCCTCATAAAAGAAGTGTACTGAGTACAGTTAATACTTCAGAGAAAGTTTAATTTGCAGAGAGTTTCCCTCAAAATTTAAGATATTTGAATGGAAAATGAATCTTTTCCACATTTCATTGATCAGCTAACTAGGAGACAAGAAAGCCAGCAGACATGAAGCAATCTGAGGTAATTCCACATTAGCACATAATTCTTGAAAATACTAACCACAAATCTTTCTACATTACTGTTTAGTCAAAAAGGGGAAAATTGTCACTACAGAGGTCAAGTACTTTTAAACCTCATCCGAAAATCTGCAAGCTTCTAATATAGTCTTTCATCCTTCTGCCACTCAATGTCTCACCAGTATGAAAGGTGCTTTTGAGGACATTATGCAGGCTACAGGGATGCTTTACAAAACTTACCTAGGATCACACAAACATATTAAAAAAAAGAAGAGAGAAATTGGAGTTTAGTTTCATGTTAAAAGCTATGACACTTTTATTATGGCAGTCCTCTCAAACCAGAAAGGTGTTTTACATCAACACCATTTTAGGCATTAAAATCACCCCAAATTCCCTTCCCCTTTTCCATTTTTTATTGTCTTTCAGGTTCATTCTGAGCAAGCAGAAATTGAACTCAGAGCTATCCTGAAGCCAGTTCCATGCTGAAAGCAATCCAGTTTTACAAAGCACCTATAATTCTATGTAGCATTTTTAACAACTTGTTCTACTTGAAGCTTGGACAACTACCCTTCTGCATAGCAACGCAAAGCTAAAAATAAACAAATGGAGAAGCTATTGTTGAAGCAAAAAGTTGAGACATTTTCTATGCACAAGAACACCTTAAATTGAGGAGATCATACGAAGGAAGTAACCCAGCTTTGTCTGGACACTTCAGGATTCCTGTCTCCTTCTCTTCACCAATATGAAGTACAACATGAGAGTCTGTACTCCTCCCTTTGTGTCTTATAAACTGTCATTTATCTCCGCTTGTAGATTTAATCACAAAAGAATTCATATTTGGCAGTTACTTCTGTTAATTCACCACACTAAAATCTGCAAAATGGACAAGACACCAAGATATCTTTTACTTAAAACATATACTGTCAAAAATCTTGCTTCATTTCCTAGTCAGATCTGTCTAGCAAATTAAATTCTAACAGGAAAAGAATGAGAATTTTTAAGTTTTTTGGAGTTTTTTTTTTTTAAAAAAAGAACTCAATACCCTTAATTATTCCAATTCAGGTCCTTTAAAAAAAATAAAAATAATAATAAAAAAAATCAGTAACTTCAGTGTTCAGAAGTACTTTGTATCATGTGTATTTTCTATGTTTTCACAGAAATTCCATGGTTTATTTTGCCTTTTTCCAAAGCAAAATTGACAGTCACAGAAAGGGAACAACAGAAGTTTTATTTAGAAGTGTATCACATGCTTTCTGGGAAGAGAGGATATATATGGTACCTAAAGCACATTCTGACTCTACGGGGCTACTCATGGACCAGGGAAGTCCATCCAATAATCAATCTGTGCCTGGAAGAGGTCAGAATAAGTCAAAAGAATCACTCCTGAACACAATTAGCATCATTTGTAAGATGAAAGGCTGACCACGAAGCACTCCTCAGCATTAAGCCAAAAACCAAATCAATAATGCAGCATTCTTCTACTGTTGCTGAGGAATACTGAAGACACTCTCCTCAGCAACTCTGCGTACAAGGATATAGGTCTTCTTGAGAGGAACAGGAGTTGCTCTAAAAATAAGCTTCCATTTTAATACCACAAATTATTCTAACCCTGTTCAACATGTTCATTAGCACTCAAAAGCTGTTGTTTATACTGTACAAGGACATGACTCAAGTATGTCAGGTGAATCATTTTTGTTTCTCGTCTTGCTGCAATCAAACTATCTTTTAATTATTTAGAGTAAGAAAAAACCTAATAAAGAGCAAGCTGAACACAGTAATTCTTTTAACAGTCCTACACATTTTTATATAGATATATATAGATAAATGCAATTTTATTAAGATTCTATCTTAAATCTGAATGACTTAGCTTCCTAACCCATATCCTTCTTCAAAAACAAATTGCAAAGTCTTCTCTTCATTAGGATATGCAGAGATTTTAGAATCAAATAAACAGAATTCAGTAAAAACTCAGCTTATTAATCCCATTTTGCTAAAAAGCAGAGTTATGCACAGGATACTTAACACATTCTTCTGCACATTATCAAAATCAAATTCCAAAGGGTATGAAAAAGCAGCCCAGAGTCCAAAAAGTATGGGCTCAAGACTAACCATTCATCCCAAGTACACTGCAAGGGAGAAAATGCTCATGGAACATGCAGTAGATACCAACCCCCTCATCCCAGGTCATTGCAGAGGTTTACTTAAGCACTCCACACAAGCACGCCCACCGGCGGCCCTCCCCACCAAGCCCGGGCGGTGGGTCAGACTCACCTCCCCTCATTGATTTTGGCTTTGTCTCCTTGGCAGAGGAAGTTCTCGACGTAGCCCAGGGTGCAGTTGATGCGCGCCCAGTCGGGCTGGCACACGGCCAGGAAGTGCGGGCGCAGGCGGCCGATGGAGTACTTGGCAATGTCCGTCAGCGACTGGCTAGCGGCTGCTCCAAAAATGAAGGTCCCAATGGCTTTGTAAATAGTGGCTATGTAGCTATTTCTGACAAATGAATTTGAGTGCAAATGGTTATAAGAAACAGAGAGGGTCTCTCCTACGATTATCTGAAAGAGAGAGGAGGACAGTAATTAAAGAAGCTTATTTGCTTTCAAAAAATTTACTCTATTGTAGTTAATACTTAGACACATAGTTTCAAAATTCAGTTTTGTAAGCATTAAGCTAGAGGAAGAACTACAGAATTCCAGGAGTCAGAGCCGTAACCATTTTCAAATATTTAAAATCTCTCTTATATAAAAGAGAAGCCTTATCTTGCTTACTGTTGAACCAAAGCATGATGATTTTCAGAATATCTAGTAAAACAAAGCCCACTTGGAATAAAGCATTTATTTATACTACTTCACACAGGACTAATTAGAAACCATTTTCTCTAATATTACATTTTACTCTGGATTTTTCACTACCTATTCTTCTGGTGATTGTTATTTACTGTATTAAGTTGTTGATTTTTGTAAAGCCAGAGACTCCTCTGAAGGGTCCAGACTTGGTTTTCTAATTTGAAAGGATAGTTAAAGAAACGTCCTATTGCTCAGCAAAGTTAAATATTTCGGGGAGGAAAGAATTAATAAGAGCACAGAAGGAAAGACACTATTGAGGGTTTGGGGGATTTTTTCACCTTGCATGTATAAGGGATATGGAAATCTTTCAAGTGTTCGCAAAAAGTTTTTCATTGGTTTTCACATCATTCCTAGGCTGTGCATTTCTGCCTTTCCTGAGTACAAAATTTCAGCTTCATTGTTAATATGCAAACATGTATATACCCAAGCAGGCTACGTTCCTCAGGGGAAAAGCTCAGCTTACACAGATTATGAGACAGATGCATGTCTATATGCAGATACACAAAAGTGACCTTAAAAAAAACCTGTAATCAGCAAGTGAAGGCTCTCTTTGTCAACTGGGTCTTTTTTTTCCGCCCCCCCCCAATGGATGAGACAGCAGGGAAAAAAAATGAAGTTTTCATGATCCTAGGCAAGTACAGCTTGTGGGAATGAAGATGCACTAGACATACTAAGACACTGGGCAAAACAGCTCTCAGCAGTTGCGCACTTGTAAGGCAAAAGAACAACTTCCTCAGGGATAGAACGAGATTTACTTTCCACTAGCCTGAAAACATTGACTGATGTTGAATACAGGTGGTAAGCTCTTATATGGAATCTATCCATACTAGAAAGAAGCCTCTAAAAGCACAGCTGGAGAAAATTAATCACAGCTTTGGCAGCATATTGAGTGGTAAACGCTCCTGCAAAATGTTAATGATGCCACTCTCACCCACACTTACTGGCAAAATTAAGGAGTCGAAGCTACAGCAGTGAGGACAAGCAGATTAAAGATTGTTCTGAGCAGACAGTAGTCTAGATTTGAGTCAGGGAGCCTGTGTCTTAATTCACTCACAGGTGAAGTGCTCTCCCAGCAGTTATGAAGTCTGATACATAATGAATTCAAATTCCTTTAATTTATTCTTTTCAATTTAAATTGCTCTTCATATTACTGATGATGATTGAGAGAAAAAGGGCAGCCAGTATGAACTTTCAACCACATTACTATAGTGTCATGAGCTAGAACAGCCATGATAATAGCTCTCATCTCAGTTGAGGCTGAGGGGAAAGGAGTGATGTTCATGCAGCATCTCACTGGATCCAGTCACTGTGGCTGTTACCCTTTAGTTTGTGAAGCACTGGAAAAGAAGCACCATCTCCTCTTACCATCTGACTTACACCAGTCTCACCAGAAAGGCCTGATAACTGAAAGCAGCTCCCTGCTGTTACAGAACTAAACACTGTTAGCTGATGGCTTGCATCAGTTCGTATGGAAACTGGACAAATTCAAGAGGAGCAAAATGTATTAAAAGTTATTATATTCACTGAAGCCTTCCCTGGCTCAGGAAGTTCCTGAGCTGCAGTGGCTGGCAGGAAAGTACTCAGGGCAAACACCACTATTGGCTTGATCTGTTCCCTATGGTCTTTGGGCAGCCGTTTTGGCAACCATTGGAAATGAGACACAAAGAGAGACTTCAGCTATGACTAGCATGATTGCTCTTATGTACTACTGAAGATAGTCCAGTGTAAAAAAAAAAAGTAATCCTTAAAAAAAAAAAAAAAAAAAACTTTCCCGCTCTGGAAGTATTTCTGTGAGGAGCTCCTCTTAAAAGCTCAAATGCATGTGCACAGAGTTACATGGGAGTCTTGGCTCTGCACACCTCCAGCTTCCCGCTTCACAGCACACGAGTCTGCCCTCTGACCCGCTCCCGCAGTGGCAATAGGGCCCCTACACTGAACAGGTTGTGGGCCTGGAGGGCCAACCACAGCTGCAGCAAAGCCAGGCAGGAGCAGCTCTAAGAGGCTGGCCACTTCCAAGCACAGAGGAAGCTGCAGGACACGCCAATGTACTGCCAGGGCACGGAATTCACGGCTTGTCACTGGGACAGCGTAAGGCAGGAGCCAGAGATGCAAGTCTCATTCAGGTCTAAGTGTTTTGACAGTTTTGGGAAGGATGGTTCTTCCAAGAAAACGTTGCTAAACTGGGTCCCAATTTTGATTTCTAGTCCTATATTTTTACTGGGGGCAGGCAAGGAAGAGATCATTCCATCCAAGAACAAGTATGTACAAGCTGACTTAATGCTGGAATCTATATAAAAATCCCTGCCTTGTATCCAAGAGAAAGTCAGATGACCATAACTGCCCTCCCGACCTTAATCCATCAGCTGATGGATTCAGTTGGACAGTACTTGCTTCACCTTTATCTACTCCCTTTTCTGCTTTTATTTCCTGAAGTATATTTTGCTAAATATTTATATATTTTAAAACTTGATTTGGGTCACTGTTAAGACTGTTAGCAGTTTCCCCAAGACATAAGACCCATAGCTGAAGAGCTCCTCACCACATCTTTGTAGCAGCACTGCTGCTTCTCCCTTTCTTTTTTCCTCTCATTAACCCAGCAAGGGGAAGAGAGGAAGGAAAATCCACCCTCCAGCTCCAGTTTTGCACCAGGCTATGGAATTTCATTGGCTTATCTTGGTTCAGATGAGCAAGACAAGTCCCTTGTGAAAAGCAAGCAAAGGTGCTCTTTGTGATCCTTACCGGAGCACCATCCCTGCTGCTTTCGTGCCTTCTCTTAGGGCACTAGCTGAAAGCCAAGATACTCTAGAATACAGCATGAGGAATCTGCTTTAACGGATGGCCCATCCTCCCACTTCCCCATCCCCATTGAAATGAAATGCAATGAAGAAAAGTGTAACTTACAACAATTATACAGAAAGGAACAATTATTCCTGCTAACAACTTATAAGAAATGGTGTCCTCTTTGTATGGATAGCGGATGGAGTCATCGCTACAGAAAACTCCTCTCTGGAAGGGGATACGTCTTGAATTGAGAATTGCAAAAGGCAAGCCAGCTAGCAAAAAGGAATAAAAAATACATTACAGAAGTAATATTTAGACTCTAATGAAGATTACACCCCCACATTTTGAAAGTACAGTGTATTAAGAGGAGAAGACATGCAGCAATTCAGAAGGGAATGCACTTTATTTTTCCAAAGGCTGTCGCCTCGTCTTTGCAGCTCTTGAGGTTGATGAATCTCATACTTGCATGGGGAAGGAGAGCAGGGCAGAACTGCTCTCCTGGCTGTGGCCCATCAAGTCGGAAAGGAGCCTGGAGCCACGAGCGGGTGGAGCGTTCAGGGACAGACAGGGAGTTGCTCAGGCTGCTGTACTGTGCACCACTGTACGGTGCAGGGAGCAGCAGCCGCCTTTCCGGCCAGCGTTAGCATCAGGAGAGAATAAACTGCACTTCACGGGAGCAGAAAGGGGGGTGTTCAGAAAGCGCGAGAGCAGAGGTGCTTCAGAAAGAGATACAGGAAAGAAGGACACCCCAGCCCAGCCAAGCACACGCACACAATGTCCTGATTGCCATGCACACCGGGTAGCTCCCTGGAACAATGTGGTCACTGCACATGCCCTGCAACCTCAGGGCACACGTTTTATTCCATCCTCCTCCTCAAAAAGAGGAAGCCTGTGGCTCATTTTAAGCTCTAAGGAGCACATAAGGTTAAGATGTACTGCACTTCATGCTGTTATACCTCAGACCTGCAGCACTAACTCAAGGAAGTAAGTTGAACAGCAAAGTTAAAGGAGTTCAAAATAGGATACCAATTCCTACAAACAAGCAGAGTTGCATTTTTAAACCCTGCATTCTCTGCCCTGAAACAATCTACAAAATCTGTTTGTGTACAGGGATGAATACTCACTCTAAAGAACAAATGCATGGGAGAGGAAGAAAACAAATGTTCAAAAAGAACGAACATCTTTAATTTCAGAATTATTATAGAATTGTGTTAATTCAGCTGAATGGTGTTCAACTGATTAAGAGCGATTAATTTTGAGCAATTAGTTCAGCAACATCACCTAAAAACACAGAGCTATTTAGACACAGCCAAGAGTCATGAACTGCACCCAAAAAACCTGCTCCCCCCTGGACCAAGAATGAACAGCTGATACTGTTCAAAGACGTGCTACAAATTTTGTTCCTTATATCATACAAAAGTGATTGTGTAACCAGAGCTTCAGCCCTAGGCAAGGAAGAACAAATGACAAACTAATAAGGCTCCTGCAGTAAAAGCTTTCATGAATGGTCCCTTATGAAGGAAGCAGCACCGATTCACAATCAAATGGCTAAGTTTCAGAGTGCCCAAGTATTCCAGCTAAGCACCTTGCATAAAGGATCAAATATGTTCTGTGCCATAAAATCAATAGCACACCCCCTCCCCAAAAGCAGCACAAGAATTTGGCATGAGGTAGCTGCAGGATTTTCAGCCCCATATCAAAGGGCCGATTCAGAAGCTCTGCAGCCATCACAGAGCCCTCCGACCAGGACTGCACAACCTGCCCATTCCCACTAGAAACCTGGATCCCAAATAGCTGCTTCTTTCCTGGCAGGGGAGGGGAAGGGAGAGGGTACAAAGGCAGGAAATGAAACCAAAAAAAAAAAAAAAATACAGCAAGCTTTTCCTTTCTGACAGCACGAGGGGCAGGGTTTTGAAAGAACTCTGCAGGCCAGCCCTTATTTCTGTCCTCTGCCTGTGGTGCCGTGGGGCCAGCTCCCTAGTTTTTAGCTACTTAGATAAGCTGTAGCACAAATAAAATTAACAAAAGTGATAGTGAGCACACAGGTTGAGGAGTGATTTTTGTCACTATAGACAGTGTTGAACTGCAGGCTTACTCTATAGTGAAAAATACTTCAAGGCAAACTTCATCCTTTGCTCAGCACTCATACTAACCTGAGGATTCAAGAGCACTTACTGGAGAAGGATATACTCTTAAGGCCTCCAGAATTACAGAACGAGGTGTATGTTATTAAGAAGTACATGATCTGGAGGATACTCTTGAGTTGGCAGTTTTAATTGGCAAGCTGGAGCAGTTGCCTGTTTAAGTAGTAAGCTCACCTCCGCACACAGGCACTGGTACTTGCTCCCCACACCAGGCCCTGACACAGGCGTGTTACTGGCTCTGCATCACCCTCTGTAAAGATCTGTTCTAGAAATACTTGGGCTTTGGCTTATTTTCATCTCCTCCCACCCTCACCTGACTGTTTCAGGATTTTTGTTTGTTTGGGAGCTGGGGAGGAAGGCGGAAACAAGTAGTAAGCTCCCAGAGTGCTAAACATTTTTGTGCGTAATTACTAGCTGTTAAACCAGAAGTGCTTAACAACAGCTCCAGTGAATCCTGATCCCTGCTCTGGTGGATGACCAGGTGTGCTCTAAGCAGATTTGCAAGAGGCTACTTGAAATGTGTGCTCACTCTTCAGCACACATAATATTCAGATTATTATGCTGGAAAGTAGAGTCTAGAATCATTTATACTATCTTCATATATCAAAACCATGCAATTGGAATAGCTAAGTAAGCAGTCCAAAGTTTGTGGTTTTTCTTTGCCTTTTAAGCAAGTAAGAACAAGCTGAAATAAGTTATTAAAAATGCATTCTCTTTCATAATTCGTTTCCATCTCATTTACTCTATTTGAAACCAAAACCACTTTGCTCTAACCTCAAAGGAAAAAAAAAAAAAAGAAAAAAGAAAAACACTATTTACAGGCTCACTGTCCAGTATACCTTTGGGTTTGAAGGCTTTACTGTTTTGTTATCTTCTCCACGTAACTTTCAACATATTTAGTATTTGAGAACTATTCTTTCTCTTCCTAATATCTCATAACCCTTTTTTAGATCAAGAGACAGTATCTTCGTCTCATCTCACCTAAAAGCCCTACACTGCTGGCTACTTCTCTGAGGAATAAAGCAGATTATAGCCTGTTTCCAGAGGAGAACCATGGCCTCACTGCCTGAGGAGCATCTTCATCTAGTTATTCTTCCCCAGACTACACTACTCTCAGGGTCTACCAAAACTATGAACAACATGGTTAAAAAACTTGCTTCTAGAGTGAAATGCCAGGTAGCATACACTATGCCAATAAGCATACACTATATATAATTTATATGCTATAAACATAACAAAGGATTCTGATCTTCTTCATGGAATACAACTCTTTAAAGCAGTATCATGAAGTATTATGCCATCACTTGTGTCTACTAGGGCATGAAACAGCATGCTGCACTGGATATGAAATTATAGCACGCATTCAACAGAGCTTGGAGGAAAAGAGTAAGTCTATAGCTCAAGACCACCCCAAGATGATTGGTATTATTCCAAAGACTAAAATGATCTTATATACTGTTGGCAGAAGTCATGAACAGCAAACTTGAATACACCAGTTGCAAAACTGAGTACAGCATGATAAACCTGATTTAGGCTAGAAAGCATGACTTCATTGAGGCACTCTGGCAAATTGTAGGTATGTAGGTGGCTGGAAATGTAACAGCTCAGAGAAGCTTCATACAAGCTTTTATTAAGCAGTCTTCCACAGCTAAACTAAGTGTTCAGTTTCTCACAGCTGCTTTACAGATTTAAAGAGCAATTTTACCAGTCACTTCTTGCCTTACTTGCACAGAACACTTCAGTACTCAAAGACCACCATATGAATCCTTAAAATAAAAGCTCTAATTTCTAGGACTTCTAAACTACATCATTTCTTATTTACCATTTACTCAATCCAAGGAAACTTGTAGTCAGAAAAGCCATCAACTCAGTCCTGGCTTTCTGATGAAAAAATCCTGGAGGTAAATGCCATCCCTCAGAACAGGTACCATACAGCACACCTAATTTACTATTCTTAAATGCACATAGCTTGGCTTGGCAAGTGGGGAGTGGACAAGGGAAGGAAAAAATCGCATGGAGCAGCAGCAATTCCTATGGTTTTTGGCAAGCAGAGACAGCCCCTCTACTCAGCCCTGGTGAGGCCACATCTGGAGTATTGTGTCCAGTTCTGGGCTCCACAGTACAAGAGGGATGTGGAGCTGCTGGAGAGAGTCCAGCGCAGGGCCACAAGGATGATCAGGGGCCTGGAACATCTGCCCTGTGAGGAGAGGCTGAGGGAGCTGGGCCTGTTCAGCCTAGAGAAGAGAAGGCTGAGAGGGGACCTGATCAGTGTATATAAGTACCTCAAGCGAGGCAGTGAGGAGGATGGTGCTGGCCTCTCTTCAGTGGTGGCCACTGACAGAACTAGAGGAAATGGCCAGAAGCTGAAGCATCAAAAGTTCCACAGGAACTTAAGGAAAAAATTTCTTGACAGAGAGGGTGACAGAGCACTGGAACAGGCTGCCCAGGGAGGTTGTGGAGTCTCCTTCGCTGGAGATCTTCAAAACCCACTTGGACGCAGTCCTGTGCCACGTGCTCTAGGTGACCCTGCGTGTGCAGGGGGGTTGGACTAGATGATCTCTACAAGTCCCTTCCAACCCTAAGCATTCTATGATTCTATGATTCGATGATGAGGGAAACTAGTTGTGTGTTCCAGTCCCGCCTCCCTGCCAGCGTTATCGTGTGGGGAGAGGAGGACACAAATGGCCTTGCTTTTCTGTTAAGTGGGAAGAGTGCAAGCAGAGTGAGCTAAGTGATGAAAGATGTAAAACCTCTAATCACAGGGGCAACCCTAACTTCCCACTTAGCACATTACTTATTTTTCACCCCGAGATGATAATTTCAACAGGGCAACACTGTAGCAGATCCTGTGATATCTCCTACAAATTAGGGCTAGATATCACTGGAAAAAAAAAATCTCCAATCATATTTGTCTTCATAATGGTACAATCATCGTTAAACTCAAACTCCTCAAAAACAGTTGGAGAAAAAGTCTTAACAGCAGTACAGAGATTTTACACTTTCTAGCTGGAAGACTTAGCCACGTAGACCAAAATAGTTTTAGAGCAGCAAGGATATACAGCACCTGATTAGTAAACATTAGTCACACATTGCCCCCTGAAAATTAGAAAGATTTTCTCCAAATAGCCATATTCCCCTAAACAAGCTGCAATATCAGAGGGTAAAACCTGGTACATTAAAAAGAATCAGACATGATAAGCATTACAAATAAACAAATAAACCAACCACAGCATTAAATAATGGCTGAAGAAAGTAGTGTGTCATCAAAGCCTTGGTGTTAAGTACTTCCCATATAACAGCAACAAGCATCCCTGATGGGAATCCCAAGGTGGGTTCACTCAGGATTAAGTGAACTGTAGCAAAGTGAAGTGGCCTAAAGGGATGATGAGAACAGGTATGTTAAGAAAAGGATTCAGGTCAGGGTGTGTTGGTGGGGAAGAGGTTACCAGCAGGGTAATCTCTAGGATCAGGTCACCAACTATATTTGGTGCATAACAAGTGGAAGACACAGTGCTGAAAGAGCAGGCAATTCCTTGATACAGTGGATGAACTGGGTCATCCAGTTCTTCCTGCAAAACAATCCTAAGGACTGAGGCGAGAGAGCAGATCTGTATATTGCTAAATTCAGAGTCATGGACTTGGAGGTTAAACTCCTCAGATGAGCTGGGAATTTGTCAGTTCAGAGATAGATGGGGGGGAAATAGTTTTTTTCCTATGGCTGTTGCACAGTAATAACAGGTCCATTAGGCAAGCCTTTTTCAGAGACATTAATATTTTTAACCAGCTTAAGAACAAAAGGCACCAACAAGAGTTTCCTCCAAAATGGCATTCACCAGAATCCACCAACACATTCAAGTTTGACCTCATCTGTCAAACACAAAACAGAGAAGGACTGCTAAGGTATTTTCTTATCTAGGAATGTAGGAATTAGAAAAAAAAAAAGAGCTCTGCAGTTTAGCAGGACAGAGGGGTTGTAAATGACATAGCGACATGGGCCAGCAGGCACCAGAAAGAAAAGCAATACTTGCCCAAGAACAGGCATTGGATAGCCACAGGTACAGCTGTTAAATGAAGCTATTCCTAACGACATACAGGAGCCTCTGAAACAACCTTCTGGTCAGAGTACGGGAGGTAGAAATGTACTTTCATTCATTAATGAGGCCACAGTTGAAATAAAAAGCATAGCTTGCTTTTCCAATAGCCTGATTCATCCGCTCTAATGCATTAAACTTCCTCACAAGCTGCTGTAGTTTCTGACTGATTATATATTAATTTTTCTGCAAATGCCAAACATAGCCCTGGGCTATTTCTTTTCCAGCTCCTAACCTCTATTAGGTTTCTTCATTGTCCCTGGGCATGGCACTGCTCTCGCCATGGCACTAAAAGTTGCCCATAACCACTCAGGTTATGGTATTTTAATGCATGACCTTAAGAGCCATAGCTGCTAATGTCCCCACAAAAGGCATCACTTGACATTCATCTATATTGAATGTCACTTGCCATGTGCTTGTCCAGTCTCAGCCATATCAGGTTCTCTGCAATCTTAGGAGCTATCCTTTATCTTTAGCAGCTTTGCTATCTCACTGTATACTCCCATCCAGGGCATTTGGGATTATACTGAATAGCACACACTCCTTTGAACCTTTACTTGCTAACTTCCTAGAAGCTACAGATCTAAATAATGAGGGTTTTTCTTTTAGTCTTATTTTAGTCTTGAGATTCCTTCCTCCTCCTGGTCTCATTTCCCACTATTACTGATCAGCCACCGACAGACATTCATTCTAGAAGAAAACAAGTATATTAGATGAGGAGAATTGATGAGTACCAGGAAACACTTGATGTGTTTCGTACAACAGAGCTTTATATGCCTATGCTCAAACACTAGGAAGCAAACTTTTCACCAGAGTTTAGAAATGTATGTTTAAAGATATTTTTGCCTTTCTCTTAGCTCTCCAAAAAGCTGTCATTTTCATTTATCCAATGCCAGCTTCATTCACAAAAACAATCTCTCTGCATAGGTATTCTCCTGATTAAGGATGAGCAGAAAGATTATCTGGTGACCCAGAGGAAAGGAATGCAAGGCAGCAGCACAAGAAAGATCCTTTTTCCCTTCCTTCCTTCACCTGCTCTTCCCAATGCCCATGTGGGGCTTCTGACACAATCCCTTCCCCCACCCTTTCTCCAGAGCCCCTTGACTCAAGTCCAGGATGTCATCAGCCCGTTATTAGCAACTGGGTCAGAGACTTGAGAAAGGGAGGAACTTACCCCTCTGACTGTTCCTCTGCTTAAAAGCCTTTAAATATTTAAGTTGCAATTCCCTCTCCATTTCCCCCTGCTCCTTTTTATGCTTCATGTACTAGGCTAACTAACCCCTTCAAAACTAATTCAAAGCCCTGTGACAGCTTGTCTTCTTAAGAGTTACTACTGAGCTTCATTTGGCTTTTTAAAAGCCTTTGTTCCAAGTCCCTGCCAGTGTCAGGCTGCCAGCTGTTCCACTCACTTTCTTATCCTACACTCTTCATCACTGTATTGATAAGCACATCTGAAGGCTTGAGAAAAAAAAAATCCAAGATGAGGCTTTTAAAGCATATTAAAAAAAAAAGCAGCCTGGTTATTACCTAATAAAGGTTTTTTGTATTGCAGTTATAAAATTGGAATCTGTGCTTCTCAGTCTTCTTGCTCATCTGATTTCAAATTAAATCATTCAACACACACTTGCTGTTGAACAGAGCGAAGCTGCACCAGAAAACTGGGTGCAGCTCAGCGTAGGCAGCAGCTTTCAGCCCCACAGCACTGGTCTTAAGGTTAACAGCCTTAAACAGGCTTCTTGACTGTCCCCTGCTTTATCAGTCTTCACTAAAGCAGCAGCTATCTCAAAAATCTGCATTAGCCCAATAATGCAGCATAATAATGCTTCTTAGAAGCAGCTAACTTTTGCAAAACAGGGTGTTTAAAGAAAAAAAAGTCAGAGAAGAAAGCAGCAGAAGGTCTCCCAAGGACTATCATTCTTATTACTATTATTAGGAAGAGTTAAAATCAGAAGAACGTTTATACATGTGATAAAAAGAAACACTCCTGTGAGCACCGGGCCTAAAATAATAGGGTAAAGCTGGCAGAGGAATAGAGCAAGAGGGTCTCCTTAGGGAGGGTGTCAAGCTACTGCAGAAATCGCCTTTGGCCAAACCAAACCAAGCCATAGTGTCATGTCTTCTCCTTTAAAAAACAAAGGAGAAGACATGACACGACCATCTAAAGTATTTTTGAATGTGTTATGTCTTCATGGTGGAGAAAGTCCAAATGCAGTCTAGAGATTCCTTTTAAAGATTTTTTTAGTGATTTCCGTTTTTTTTTGGTGACTCAAGTTGCAACCTATAAGGACATTACGTCACTATCTGCAATGAGTTAAGGGTGTAATCTTTTTACTCCTGTGGAGAGAAAAAAAAAGGTGGGGGGGGATTAATTCAAGGTAAGAGGGGAGGGTAGAAGTATCAGACAGATCTTCGTGGCTATGTGAACAATGTCATAGACACAGGCTGCTCAGAATAGTGGCCAAAAGAGATTAATTTCTCCAGAGCACTACTCTTAAGCCTCAAAAAAACATTAATACAATTAAAAATATCATGCCTTTTCAACCAGGCACAGGAAACAATTCTGAAGTTTGAACAGTATCATACTATGAAGCACCATCAGGAAAAAAATAAACAGGAGTTTTTCCACAGAGATTTTCTTTCTTGCTAAGAAGTGATGTTAACAGACTTCAGGTTCTTACAGTATTATATGGCAGATACAAACAGAACTGTGGTTTTCAGGAGCATAAGTCTTACATTTTCTCTTTAGAAGAGCCTTACAGGTTTCTCTAACACATTCCAAAGGTTGTTCAAGTTAATTTTCCATGATAGCAGAACAAAGTTCGCATAAAAGAACAGTTTATCGACTCTTATTTGCTTAGTATTAGACCCTACGGTTAGCAGCAGTTCCTTCATGAAGACGTCTCATCTTTTCAGAAGAGTTTTAGGTCACAGTAACATTGACTATGTAAGACATGATCATAGTTACACTGCTCAGTAAGCTTTATAAGGCAGCTGTGTCCCCGCTGAAGATACTGCTTCTGGAAAATACTACTTTTAAAAACCTCTCAGTTCTCACACCTTCACCAAGATAGTCCGAAACAGGAACCAGGCTGAATATCTGACTGTCCTATGCTCAGCCTGGTAATTTTCTCTTAACACTGAATAGAAGCAGGGTTGAATCTATATTCAACAGGAGTTAAGTAAAGCCTCAGCAACATATCCAACATATCTTACACGCTACACTGTCAATAGCCATAGAGGACATAGTATTTAAGCCATATGGCTGTTCCCTCTTGCAGGTGGCCGAACAACCGTCTGCAGGCATCTCTCAGAGCCTGGGGCAGACCCATTCCACTCCTCTTCCAAATTCCAGCACGGAAATATAAATTCCTTTAGAGTCTCACTGGTTTCCAAGGCAAGATTTCCGTCCACCACCCCTTTCCACAAAGCATATCCTTAGTTTACTTATGTCCAGCAGTAAACTTCATTATTCTCAGGAACTGATGCTTTGCAAGGAGCTCATTAGTCACAGACCTCATTAGCACCTCAAATTTGGACCCTACCTAGCAGATATCAGATTTGCTGCACTAATGTGCCAGCATTTAAGAAAACAATCTAAAACTGAACCAAGAAAGCTGTTTAGCTTCATATATTACCTTTACCTCCCCTGTCAGACACCAGCCCATGTTATTTGCAAAGTTTTTTAAACTTCCAGCTTGAAGAAAACTGATCTGAATAACACCTACTCTTACAACAGAGCTACAAACTCTTGAGAAATGTTAACTCTTACAATATGGAAATCCACAAGTTACTGTTATGACTGCTATCGGATTCCCTGCGCTCAGACAGGCAGTACTTCTGTAGAATTCACACAGTGAAGAGGAAAAAAAAAAAAATATGTGATACTGAAAACAGTGAGCCCTTTTTGGGCAAGCAACCGAATTTTCAGCCTCTGAATCCTATCTTGAAAGATTTTAAAAGTCATGCTATTTTCTTTTTTTTCTTTTTTTTAAACTTGCAAAGTCCTTTGAGTCCAAATCAAATGAGTTTCTGTAGAAAGTACACAGAGGGGACATACATGAATTGCAGTTTTGTGGAAATTTTAACATTTAAAGTGCTCTATCAGACTAAATTGTTCTGAGCAAGAAATAGGAGTATTTCACAGCATTTATGGACATTAATAGTATTCCTTCCTCCCCCATCAGATCTAAAATCCTAGGGTAAACATATACTTAAAACCTTCTTTCTGCTCCTCAAAAAACAAACAAACAAGGATTAGAGAAATTAGAGAACAGGCAATTAAGAGATTAGTTCTAGATTTTATCTGCAAACTGAAAGTAGCGAAACACCTTTTCACATGCATAGGACTGCATAAAAACGGGGTTTTCGTCTTTCACGCCTCTCTGACCAGCTGTCAGGCACAGTCACAGTGCTGAGCTCTTGGAAGACACAGCTTCCACCCCCATCCCCAAAGCTGCCTGTAGATTAGCTACTTACAGAGAAAATGGGCAGGGTGAACCCCACTGTGTAGAGGACAGTGGATGTGATGGTACTGTCATGGAATGGATACTTGATGCTGTCATCATTACAGAAAAAGCCTCTCTCATACGGTTTTATTTTGAGCAAGTTTAGAACACCCAGGGGTAAGCCAGCTGTTGGGGGAAGGAAAACAAAACAGAGATACATGTTGTTAAATCAAAATTCACTTTTAAACATGCATGGAGGATGCTATGAAACATGCAAAACTTAAGATTTCCCAAGTTAGAGCAAATTAATTATCATGCAATGCACATGCTTACCAAACCCTTTGTATAGAAGTTTGCCTTGCACCATGGAAAATGTGATGTCACCCACCAAATACAGAGATTAAGGAAGTGCAGAGTTCATAGTCGTTTTATCAGCATGGAGAGTTGCCACATACGGAACACAGATTATGCCCAAGAACCCGAAATACCACTCACACAGCTGACTCGCTACTGAGGGCGGACCACTGCTGTGCCCTCCTCCTCCCAGCCACCATCACCCTGCAACACTGGCTCCTACCTAAATTACTAGCCCTGTTCTAGACAGGAAGGTGGTCACTGGTTACAGAAGACATTGTTACATTTTTCAGAGTAAGGAAGGAAAGGTATCATGCAAGAAGTCTTCAGGCAGGTGAAGGAAGCAAGACAACTTTGGAGACACCAACAGGAAAAGTGGACACTGAAAAGAACTGCGTCTGAGGGTAACGAGACTTGCGCTTGGAGTCTCATTTACACATTTTTTTTCCCCTGCATCCAATTAATTGTTAACATTGGTAACATCA